TACCCAGGAGCAGGGGATGTCTTTCCATTTTCTGATATCATCTTCAATCTCTTCTTTCAGAGTGCTATAGTTTTCAGAGAAGAGGGCTTTGATTTCTTTCATTAGGTTGATTCCTAGGTATTTTGGGTTTTTGGATGCTATTGTGAAAGGAATTGTTTGCCCTATTTCTGTCTCAGTGACACAAATCACTTCTTTGCAAAGCCTCTGACTACTCTGGCCCCTGGGCTGCTCAAACTCTGGGACACTTGTGGAGTATTCTCTGCAGCACAGATCCCCTGAGAGGGTTCCAGGGTCCCTTCAGGATCCAGTGTTAAGCTGAGATCAGCAGCCAGGTCTCTTCCTCCCTCCTCATCCTCCACCCTTGGGCTGCTGGCCTTTGTCTAAACGGAAGGCTCTCAGATCCTCCAGCAGGGGCCACAGTTGGCAGCAGTGTTTAAGTCTTCATACAAAGCAAATAAACATGAAAATTGTTACTGAATAGTAGCTGTCCTTTTTTAAGAATAAAATTTAAGTAAATTTTACTGTAATGTAGAATTTTTAAGGTTGTTAATAAAAATGCTACCCTTTTCTACAGATTTTTTCTGAAAATGGATAAGGTTACTCAAGGATAAATGCTGTATTTGAAAAATGAAGGTAAAATGATAAAGCCATTCTCAGCATTGGCTGCTATGAGATGTTGACATGTATTTTTTCCCCTGAAAATAACAGTATCAGAACTGCCACCTTTGACAGGAGCCCTCACAAACCCCATGAGCTCTCTCAAGCGATGATACCAGGAAATAATCCAAGGAAGATTGTTGATCCTTAAAGAAGTCCCATTGATTAGAGCTGCTCCCTCAAAATCACATTTCCCTCGTGACCCACTGTATATGTCATTGGTGAGTTTAATCTAATTTCACACATATGTACACAATTTCCATGTGAATTATTTCTCCAAACTTGCAACACTAGTTAAATAACACAATCAGAATTCACTGGACACAGAAGTAAAGATTTTGAGGGGAGGATGAGAAGTTCAGGTTTTTACATATATAACATGGGTTTAAATATGCTTTTAACATCTTCAGTTATAGCATTTTATAACTCTGAATTGTACACTGTTAAAGGAACTTTTATGGTAGAGTAACAAAAATTGAGTATAAGAATAAAAACAGGAATTTGCAGTCTAAATAAAAAAGAACAGCCAGGGCCCAGTAACTAGTCATTCAACATTGGGTATAATTTTAGAAATAGATTAAAATCAACACCTCACTTACTAGTACTAGAGTGATGATAGTCCCAAATAAGGTTTGATTGAACTGCACTTAACAACTCGGCCACAGGGAATAAAAGAAATGGCCAAGTCCTAAGACACTTTTTATATCAAAGGAGGAGAGAGGCTTGATTACATGAGTTGCACCTCTTTTCCGCTTGAAGATCTTTCCTCTAAAATGCACATATCCTGACTGCATTATTAACTGTATGCTTGCTATTTTTATAAGACTCTGGAATCAAGAAACAATAGAACTGGAAGGAACATTTATAGTAGACTCATTAACATTTCAACTTAAAATATTTTTGCCCACTTGGAAGTATTGTTTCAAGATGGCTGAAAAGAAATTCTTTTACCCTATATTTTTAATCTTCCCCAAAGAGTCATTCCATCTCTCTCCTGCTTTCTGCCAAACAGCAAATGACTAGTCAGATGAAATAACTTCACTACCTTTTTTAATTAGTTCCATGGGAAGGGAAGATTTGAAAAAGGAAGAGCCATGGGCATTGAGGAGAGCCACAGCTGTGAGCTGTGTACCTCCAAGACAGGTATGATTATGAACACGAATGTAATTCTAATAACTTTTCTGCCACATGGAAAGGACTTGGCCAGTTTTCAGGCCAACACAAAATTCCAGGAAGACAAGAATACCCGGTGAACAAAGAAAAGCACAGAGGTTACCAGGCAATTGCTCCACAACTAGGGTACTTACAGGGCAGTGAGGTAACCCTCCAAAAAGCCAGCCACAAACATGATGATCTCATTGCTCAGGTTCTGAGTGCCATATCCAGCTTTAATCTCCAGGATGCCCCAGCCAGTGGTTTCCATAGAGTTATTGTAATAGCCATATGCATCCCCATCTTTGTCCAGGACATCTTTGACTTCTACTGTCTTTCTATCAGGTATCCAGTATACAGTTGCATAGTGAACTCCTGGAAGAAAAGGAATAATGATAGAAAGTCACTCACCTGATTTGCCAATGAATTTTTGTTTCTATGTAACCAACAATTCCAACACATTAATTTTTTTTTAAGTTTATTGGTATATTTTAGGTATAAAATACAGTTACATATATCACTGGGATCTTGTACCATTACATGAGTTATCTTGGTTCTTATTTTTTTCCCCTTCCCCTGCCCTCCCTTCACCCCCTCCACCCTTCCCCATTTGCAAAGACTTTGTTTCCATTTTTTTCCTTTTCTCATATTTTTTCTTACCCTTTCTTTCCTGTCCCCTACCCCCTCCTACTTCCCCT